TAAGCTTTCGAGCGAAGTTAAGTATTCACTGAACTTCTCCTTTGCAAAGTGAATTTAAAAATCTCACTGGTCTCTGTATGTCATTGTTTAATGTTCGGCGGGGTTGTGTTATGTTTTCTGTCTGAGTTCCTAGGTTAAAAAAACCGAACAACTTGTAAACTGGGGAGCTGTCTATGGAAAATTCAGCTATTCGGCTAATAATCCCTAAAATATCCTGAATCATTTTACAAAAGTAATTTATTCAATAAATAAATGGACAGAGAGCACAACCCCCCCAATGTTAGACCTAAAGTTACGCCCTTGGCCTCAGCGTAAGACCTTGGACTGAACTAAAACAAAATAGAGTGCCCTTTTTTAAAGCAGAGACTTGGACTGCAATGTCAGATAACGGCAGTGGCGAAATCACCGTGCTTTACTGTGCTCCAGTATCCACAAGACACATGTACTCCTGACCATCAACTGTAAGTTTTACCATTGGGTCAAGATACTTGTGGGTCCCCATCTCTGGCTCCTGGCACCACTTGTGATGATTGGAGGTGTAATGGAACTAATACTTTTTTGTTTAAGCTAGTTATTCATGACATTGTCATCGCATGAAAGCAGAAACATGTTGGAATAATGCCAGAAAACTCTGCGTGTATGGTCGTACTAATGATTTAATTCTGAGCAACAGGCAAACAGGACTCAATCAGGAAGCTCTGTCAGCCCGTCGCTGACACGTCAGCGGACACAGCCAATAATATGCACCATGATAACATCATATGACGTGCTTATAACCAATCACAGATCTCCTAATATACTGTCCAGCCTATCACAGGGCTCCCAGCTCAAAGAGTGTCTTATCAAACAAGAGAGGTCAGTCCATTGCGGAGTCCTGTTGTCTGGGCCAACACAGATTAACATTGAACAAGTGACACAGATAGATATTTAGTCCATAACACTCCCTCCTCTTGAGTAAACAATACTCAAAACCAAACCAAATGGAGTAATTACGAAACGTCCAAACACAAAATGTATCAAACAACAACAAATACAATGGAAAAAATAGTGCAAGTTAAATGACGACCAACAACATATACATTCAATCAATGAAAGATACAACAGGAAAAAGGCTTAAATGACAAGTGAAACATCATAACTCATCAGAAGAAAAACATGTAGAAATTTAAAAAACTCAAAAGCCCAAAGTTAGACAAGGTATCACAACACAAGTTCTGCCTCCCTGCGAATTTGATTGCGTGAGCCGCCTATGTTCCATCAGAATCTTCTCTTGGATAAAGTGTTAACTTAATAACAACTAGTTGTCAATTAATGAACCTTAAGTAATGCAAATTAGGACAATGTACAAAATACAGTTCCTACCCCATTCAAGTCAAAATCACTAACAAAACCCACAGTGCCCATAAGGCACAAACAGAAAATGCATGAATCACTGGCATGAGCTGGCTTGTGCAAGGAAGAGAAGAACACAAAAAACAAAAGTGTAACAAAAAATAACAAACAAAAGCTAAACCTAAAGTCTAAATAAATTAAACTAAAGGAAATAGCACCCCTCTCCTCTTGTAACAATTAAGCTAAACTCTAAAGTAAGCTTAGATCTAGTCCTCCTGTGAATGACATAGAT